GGGGGGGGGGGGGGGGGGGATGGAATGAAGTGGTTGTTTAATGCAGAGCCTGTCTCTTTGTTTGTTCCAGGGCCCGACGTCTACGAGCTAATTTTGCCGCTAACCCAGGCATATATTTCCTTCGTCGTTGTTGGTACATTCTCTGCATTTGGATGAAGAACGCTAAAATAAAAAAAAACAAGATTGCGGGTAGGGATTGATTTCATATACCGACACACACACACACACACACACACACACACACCCAATTGGTGGAAACAACATTTTCCACTCCCCACACTTTTAACATGCTTGTCAATCTCTCCACACCTATCTCTGTTTCCCACCACCTGCGTATCAAAACTTGCTTCTAATCTCATCTCCTATTCACTTTGCATGACCTCTTGCACAAGTAAAGCTTATTTCGTAGAGAACTCACTTGTTTCAATTTAACGAAGTGTAGGCAAAAATAAGCATGCATTAGGGAACATCTTGTAAGTAAATTCACCACAAAGGGACATACTTATCAAACATTTCTACACAGTTTATTAAAATGGATAATAAGAACTGAAGAGCTCAATCGAGAGAAGAAGTGACCGCCCCGCCAACTTTGGTGCATCTAAATTGTATGCTCCTCATTTGCTAACTCTCTTCCTCCACTTTTCCAATGATTAGCCTGTGGTGGAAGGGCTTCCATACTAACTAGTGTGTTTGCTAGTCTGACCTACTTCCAATAATTTGAAAATAAGAGTTAATTTATTGAAGTATGCAAACCTTGCAAGTTCTTCAGGATTAAATTTGGCAACAGCGTAGCCACCTTCCATTTGATTTCAAACACCCGGGCTTGTAGCCTTCAACCCCCTAATGCGTTGATGGTGATAAGGATTGCAATGGGATTCCAATGGGAACTAGAATTTGCTTGCCACTCCTAAGGCCTTAAGCTTGGGAGGGGTACAGCTCATCCCACACCAAAGAATAAACGTGCATTAAAGACGGGGGATATGTTAATTTACCAGGAAGCATAAGGAGGATGTAGACATGGAGGAAAGTGGGAAAATCGAAGGCAAAGTTGGCGATATTTGGCATTTCAATGCTGAATCTTCGGGATTCCTGCAGCATTGGCATGGACAAAATGATGAGTTTGCCTAATAAAAAGCATAAGATAAAAAAAATGCGACATAATAATAAGAGAAGTGAGGTGAGTTGGTTTAAGCATCTCAAGTTAACCTTCGCATATAAAGCCGATGGGATAGAGAGGGATCCACAGAGTATATCGCAGGTAAGTAATCAGACCGATTTCTTCGTTGAATAGGCGTAGTGCATAGTAGGGATACCTAGAACACGAATTAGAACCCCGCATCGATAAATAAATCCATCAAATGATAGTGAGAATGTAGAAGGCATCTATACTCAACACGAGAGTTATCTGAGTATTTTCGGCAAAACTGATTGAAATCATTTTTGCAGATGATCAAACAGGAAGGTAAAGAAGGCGGTATTGAATATATTTGTATTCGACTTTCATCTAAGAGTGCTCTTTGTGACAAGTAAGACATTTTTAAACAGGAATAAGTCGGCTGCCCTTAACCACCCTAATGAAACAACTTCAATTAAATTGGAATTTACATTTACACCTATTTCCACAGAAAAGCTAAAAATAAGGAAATGTATTTTACAGTACAGAAGACCTGTTTAATCAATATTCATTCGAAAAAAGGCGAAGAGCATCTACCTGACCAGTTCAATCGCACTCCAGGCTAGGAATAGATTGAACACAACCGAATGCCCCTGAAGCTCTTTATGCGGAAGAAGTATGATAAACAGCACCAAATTCCGTCCCAGTACCTACAATGAACAAAGAAGTCGTTCAAATACGCACAACGAAGTAAAAAAAGAGTAAAATTCATGCAGATATACTTGCCTGTATGATTGTTGGTAGGACCTTACCTTTCACCCACTTCAGTAGAACATGAGCGATTTCAAGAAAGGCTGCTAACTGCAAAATAATGAGTCGATCCGCAACCAAATCAAAAGCCTTTGATTTAACGTCTAGGAGGAAGCAGTTAAGACGCTCAAATAGTATTAAAACCCTTCTACTGAATTGAAATAAGTAGAATAGATTACCATCTCCTTCGACCCACCAACCACGAACCAGGATGCCAAAAACGTATATGAACCCAGCCCATTGGAATATGTTGTAAACAAGAAGGTAAAGAACCAGGGGATTCGTCAAAACTGAAATTGAATGAATTAGGCAATAGATTCAAGCGTACATGGAGTTAGTGGTCAAAATTAGGCTTACATTTGAAGAATTCCTCATATTGCTCACGTGCCATTTCTTCAGCACGTCTCATTTGGCGTTCGCGCTGGAGAAATTAATCAAAATTCAGAAATTAAAAAAAATAATTAGTGAAACAGCGTCATGTAAAAGTAAATTACCACATTAAGATAATATAGACTTCCACAGAAAATTTCTTAAGGATATAATAATCCCGATACGGGGTGTGCGATAGGCTTACCTCCAAGTGGCGCACCCTGGGCAACGTATACTCATACGGCAAAAGAGTCTATAAACCGCCAGTTGACTTCTGACTTCAAACTACCATGACCCCACTGTATATCATATTCCACCACTTCCACAGTACTCACCTCACCTTTTCTCTGCCTTTGTGTTGGTCTATCTCTTTTACATCCTGGAATCACTTTTCTGTTCCCCATCTCGAATTTTCTCACTTTGATCTTCCTACCCCCTCTGCGAAGCCCAGAGTCAGCTAACTGGCTAATGATAACTATCAAAACACCTGCTATTTTATAGAAATAAACGTCACTAACAAATGACTCCATTATATTGCTTTAAAGAATTGATCGGGTACTTTGTTAGCTAATCGAGGAGCACAAAAGATTTAGGCCAAAATTAAGGAAATTTATGTACCGTAAACTTAATTTTCTCTGCTCAGGGAGTCAGCAGTTGTCAATACCATCACCGATTCCTATTAAAATAGTATTACTTATGAAATAGGATCTGCGTTCCGCGACTCGAAATATTGAAAGTACTAAAAAACATCCTTAATTTTCATCGCCGCCTATTCACTTCGCACCATGACGGGTGTGAATTGAAACCGTCATCATTTCTACCTTCGTAGACGGGCATACTCAAGGTGTTTTAGATCACCGCTGCACACGGTAAATCGACTTGTTGAAGCATGCAACTCACAATGAATTTAATTGTTGGAGAAAATTCACAATTTCTTTTGCTTCAGGAAACAAAGCTCAAGTGGAAATCGGGTCAGAATGGTATAATTTTATGCAGCAGCAGTCACATCTGTTTCTTGAGCATTAAATGTAACAAGGGTTACGATCTAATTCGCAATGTATCGATTTGGGGTAATAACTTTGCCACCCCCCGAAGTTACTACTAACAAATGTTAAGCTGAGGCAAGAAAACTCCGAATTAGTTGTCTAGAATGATAAATTTTTTAATGCGAAAAAAAGATATTAAAGCAGCAATCTGACGAGTTTATTATTTCTACAATTACTTACTTTCTTACATAATTGCCAAAATACTCAAGAATTATGTTGGAGATAGTGTGGGGAAAGCAGCGAGATTTGTCTACTTGGGTGTATCTTGTTTATTTTAAAATTTGGTCATAAAGAGAGGCTTCTAATCTGAAAATGAGCCCAGGGGTTGGGGTGACTTTGCACCTTAGATGACTGACACACAAACGATAGCAGTGAATTGGTTAATAAACTTTGTACGCTGAAGAACCTATTTCATTTGGAAGATGAGGAATATGTACACATTGTACCATGACGCAAACGGATTATACTCGAGTAGCAAGCGTACAAATTGAATCTACAGAATTAATGTTGCAAGACTGGGGTATGCGATAGACTTACCTCCACGCGGCGCACCCTGGGCAACGTATACTCATACGGCAAAAAAGTCTATTAACCGGCAGTTGACTTCTCACTTCAAACTACCATCATCCCACTGTATGTCATATTCCATCACTCTACAGTACTCATCTTACCTTTTCTCTACCTTTGTGTCCATCTCTTTTACATCTTTGAAACACTCTTCAACTCCCAC